AGCAGATGAAATTGAAACCAGAAACCATAGGCTTACATATACCAGTTACGTGAAGGCGTGTGGCTCGCGTGGCGTAGGGATGAAGGTCCAGGCTACCGGCTGAAGAGTGCAGGCAATTTGGAGTCTGCCGATCCAGGTTGTGATGGTTGCTCCAAGCCAGGATGCCCACTGATCCACTAGACATGCCTCGGCTGCCAGTCATGTTGGGGCTGGCAGGTGGGTGAGCTACACCTTGGATTGTGGGACAGTCACTTTATCTGTGGCATGAAGTCCTGACTCATCCGCAGGAATCATTCCAGAAGAATGAGAGCTAAATGTGATTGGAGATGCTATGGATCAATTTATCCTTCCTTCAACTCACCTAGGTGGGAGAGGCAGGTGGTAATAACCAACAAACAGTGAAGGTTTCATCCCGGATCTCCCACTGTATTTACAAAGGATAAGACTGACAGCATTGGGCGTGGGTTGCGGGTAGGGATGGTGGTGGTCAGTACCTCTCAAGTGGATCTGATATAATATAGCCTCCTTTTGTGTTGCAATGTGTTGTATTGTATTGCACCTTCTCTAAGAGCTGGCAGGAGGGGAAGTTAAGACTGTCAAAGTTGCAATGCCATGAGGGATCATGTTCATTTGACATACTTAGTTGTTGCTCTATTGCTACAGAAGGCCTGCACCCTAGACTTCTAGCAAATGCCTCCTGCAAAGACTCCCACATGTTGATCTTTGATAATGGCAACGTCCATGTGGTTTACCTGACTTTTAGCTGCCCTCCTAGATGTGCCCAGGAATGAGCTCAGGGGTTAATTACTCTCTCACATATCAAATGACATGATTCGATGTGCTCTATTATTATTATTTTTTTCCTATCCTGTATTTAGATGCTGGGCAGAGACGATCTAGAAAAGGAATATCAGGATAGGTTGATAACTTATTGGTAGCTTTTAGCTGGGAAAAAAATGTAGGACATACTCATACATTCTTATGTACATAGTGACTGAGTTTGTCTATGGAAGAGGGAAAGGAGTATGAAGTCAGGGGCTGTCAGGAGACAGAAGCTACGCAAGTTACTTTAACCACAAGAATTAGTACGAAGGCTTACGCAGGGGATGAAAAGGTTTTCTGCAACCCTCTTAGGGTCCCTGGTTGGGCCTGAAAAATTAAACTGATAAAGACAGATTAACAGGAGAAAAGCATACAGATTTAGTTAATGCAAGTTCTATGTGTCACAGAACCTTCCTAAGCAAATGAAGATCTGAAGAAACAGTTAGACCTGTGTATTTTTATATGAGATGTGATGAAGACTGGGCAGTCAGGGAGGAATAGGAGAGGTGAAGGAGTCTGTGTTTGGAGATAAGGATGCTCCCTTCCTCCGGGCATAGGGAGGGCACCGCTCACCTGAGGCTCCGAGGACCTGTTTCAGGGGGAAAGGGTGACAGGGAGAGATCAGAGTGAGCTTTCTGCTCTGCTGTTTTCTCAAACTCCGTCAGCTTAAAACATTCAGTACGCCAAGGTGGCGTATGTTGGGGTAGCGGTTCCTGAACCCCATCACTTGTTAACCAAGTGTTGCACAATCCAAGAGGTACACAAGGATTCTGAGGTTCACAGAGGCAGCTATCCCTGTAGGGCTGAGGGAACAAAGGGAAGAAGAAGTCAGGATAATAAAAACATCAATACTTGGATGATGGGCCTTGCAGAGAGGGATCCCAGGCCCCTGAGGAGGGCACCCTGGCCAGCTGGCCAGCTGGTATCTCTGAGGGGGGCACAAAGAAACAGATGCTGGGAATATAGAGAAACTGCAGAATGGAGTCCGTTGCTCTTACTGGAACCAGTTACTTCTCCCAGTGTGAAGAGCTCTTACTGGGGCCGTGCTGATGGAGTAGTAAACAAATATGGAGGTCGTTACCTGTCCTGCTGCCTGCGGTCAGGAGGGGGCACCCCCTACCGGCAGACCCAAGGGAGCCTGCTGGCCCAGGAGAGGCGTGATCTGTGGAGTCCCAGCCCCCCTCCTCTAAGCAGGGTGGGTTTGGAGGTAAGAGACAATTCAGTTACCAACCAATCCGGAAAGAGAGAGCATACCCGTGTGCATACACGCAAGAGAGAAATAGAGTGCGTGTGTTTATGAGCGAGCGAGCAAGAACAAGCATCCATCCAGCAGCTGGCTGGGATAAGGAGCGTTGCTGCTCAGTTATAGACATAATCATAATAACAGCCTGTACATAGGAATTTGGTTTCGGGGGAAATAACATGAAGGGCCCTTATTTAGCTTGGGGTGGGGTGGTGATTAAGTTCCAAAGCCAGAGCATTAGGGGAAAATCACATATAAACACTAGCTGCACGCACTAAGGCTCCGAGAGTCTTGAGAAGACAGATTTGTGTCCCTCATCTCATGCTCATTCAGTGACACACGCAGGCGTGCTAAGTGGAATGCAGGTGGAAAACCACACAGGGCCCCGCCCCGTTTATGTTATTCCTTTCTCTTGGTCTGTTCTGCTCTCTCACCAAGCTTGGAGAGAGGACTTTTTATAAGTGACGCGTATGTGTTCCACAGCTTCACCTTGCATTGTGCCAGGTGTGTGCTAACCACTCTCTCATTTGCTATATTATTTGATGATCACGTTGGCCCTAAAAATGGTATTATGCTTCTTTCACCGAAAAGCCATCAGACACACAGGGAGGTGAACTAATGTGCTGTCGGCGCAGCCAGTGAACGATAGAATCTGGACTTCACACTCAAGTGTATCTTCCTCCAGAGCTTACACTCCATAATTAGCATAGCCCTGCTCCCCGCTTTGAAAATTCTGCCCTGACTTCGTGCCTAGGACAAATTACGTCATCTCCATCCAACATGAAAACGAGGGGTGTATCTTTAAGATGTGATAGTCCTGAAGTTTCCAATAGGGCAGCCACTGGATATGCGTGGCTATTTAAGTTTAATTAAAATTAAGTAAAATGTAAAATTCAGTTCCTCAGTCACACTAGCCACATTTCCAGAGCTCAACAGTAGTGACTACCATATGAGATAGCACAGAATATTTCCATCCTCACAGAAAGTTCTGAAGGAGACCCATAGTGAGTGAAAGCGTGGCTCTAACACTTACTTAACAAACCTAGCTCTGCACCTCATTAGCTGTGCATTCATGGGCAGGTTACTTAGCCTCTCTGTGCCTCAGTTGTCACATCTGTAAAATAGGGATAGTCCACGCAGCTCCTCATAGGGCTCAGATGAAAGTTAAATAAGACACTACTTGTAAAGTTTTTAGCTTGGTACCTAGCACATCACGAATTACCAAAACGTGTTATCTGAAGGAGACAGGGTCTCTTAGCTCTAACCCTGTGCAATTTTCTAAACACTCTACTGTTTCCATCTACCCCCTGATGTTTTTATTTGGGGAAGGCAGGAAGGACTTTGAAGCAGAGTAAACAGTATCTTGATAATCTATATTTGGAGTGCTACATGCAGTCAAGGAATCCTACATTCACTCACAAGATTATTTTACTTAACGTACATTCCTGGAACTCATACCAGGCACCAGGTTCTGATCTAAAAAATTAACACATGTTCCCTCATTTAATCTTCCAAACAGGCTTATGTGGTAGGTATTCTCTACCCTCATTTTTAATACCCTTGCATTTCTATATCCTCCACATTTTATGACTTCTCTTGATAAGTCCTGTAAGAGTGGGGGAGAGGGGATGACAAAGATGAAACAATACAATGCTACCCTTGAGAAGAAGGTAGAGAAAAATAACTGTAGGGTGCATATTATTTTGGGCTAGCTATTTTATGTGCATTATCTAATTTAATGCCACAGCCCTATGAGATAGGTGATAGTCTCATTGTATAAATGTGGGGGAAAAGGCAAAGAGGTTATTAAAACTAGCCTAGCATCACACAGCTAGTTCAGGGTGAGAGCTGGGATTCTAATCATACCCTGGGATTCTAACCATTCCAAATCCCATACCCTGCATCTTGATGTCTATCAATGGGGAAGATACTATTTTTGCATGTTGAAGTATAATATAAGGTAGCAACTGAAGAATATAGATACATTGTCCTAGGAGTTAAGAGGAAGAAAAGATTACTCATGAGAGCCTCCTTTGAAGAGGCAGCATTTAAAATGGAGCTCAAACATGGGTAGTATGTGGGCAGGTGATACTGGAGGAAAAAGATTACAGGCAGAGGGAGGAATACAGGCAAAGACTCTGGGAAGTCTGGGATCCCGTGCGTAGTTTGCAATGATGGGCCGAGGACGGGGATCTGCCTGGAGGGAAAGGAGTGTTTTGTCACTAACATTGCTTAGAATTGCCAGTGTATGGTCCTAGTAAAAGGCAGACTGACTCTTAGTTTTATTATTGCTTTTAAATGCTTGACAGACAATGTGTCCTTTTTTTTATGCGTGTGTAGGACAGACCACACCTACCAGCCCCTACCCTTTGGTACTCCACTGGTAACTGGCTTTGTTGGGATAAGTTTCTCTTGAATGCCGTTCTCTATCCACCTCTCTTGGTAGCACTCTATGTTCCTCTGACTCTCAGCCTGCGTTCTTCCCTGGTATGCTACCCACCCTGTGTTCCGGGGAGACAGGCTCTATGAATGGACAAATGGGTAGCCCTGGGTTTTCCATGAGTTTTGGGAAAGGAGGGTCGTAAGTGGAACCAGTTGTCTGTCATGGTCCATTTCTGGAGTTCTTCTGCCCCAGGCAGTGTGACTGGGATAGAAACGTTGTTCAGGATCCCAGTGATGCTTTAGAGTCAATAGCAATGCTAGATTGACCCAAAGGGCGTGGACCATGGGCCTGGAGGAATCTTCTTAGCAATTTTTCACTCGATGACACGTTGAGAGTTTGAAGTTGAATACTGAAATCACTGCAGAGAAGACCAGGTGGTTGTTGATAGCCCTCCTACCCCAGCCCCCTACCTTTCCCCTGTTTATGACCCCGGGGCAAAGGAAGAAGGACCTCCTGCTAATTTTCAACTGTATCTTGCTCTCTGTTATGTAGTATTTCAGTGACAGGATCCACTCAGGAGAGTTGGGGCAAGGCTGGCTGAGGTTCTCAAGGACCTGAGTTTTGAGTTCAGGTGCCCGCATGGCAATGGAATGATGCTTCCTGACCTTTCAGACCTTTGAGACCTCTGGGAGGTCTTAGAAATCACCTCAAGCCTCCCATCCAGGATACGACTGCCTGGGGGAAGTCCAGGGAAAGGTAGCAGGTAGAGTATCCTTTCTGAGTTTTATTCTCTCTCGTCCTCCCTCCCCTCCTGTCTGTGTGCCTGTGTCGCTCTGTTGTGCATCCTTCTCCTCAAGATTCCATGGACCAGTGATGCAGGGGTATTTATTTTATGTTCTTGTCAACAGAGATATCATGGACTGAAAGGTGATGGGTCCCCCAATGAGCTCACTCCAAGATCTCAAAGATTCCAAGCCACTGGCTGATCCAAAGCCTAAAGCCACCGTTCTGGAGAGGCAGCAGGAAGCAAGCCCGGAGGAGGTGAGGAAACACCACTCTTCCCTCTGCCCTTGACTCCATCGACCTTTAGCTATCAGATGGTTTGGGCCCAGGCCTGATGGGCTTTGTCCTGTGTGTCCTTTCACAGGAAGACAGACCCACCTTCTCAGGTGTCCTGAGAGACTGCTGAAGGGCAGTGAGGAAGATGTTGCTGGTCCCCAGGGCAGAACACAGCAGCCGGGACCAAGAAGCACCTAGAGTGGGACTCAAGCCCAACACCCCTTCTGATGAAGCTCTCTGAGCTGTGGTTCCAGATTGGACTGTTTTTTTGCTTTGTCATCATCTGCATAACATGCACAGTTCTGGATGCTTTTGATTGGTTAGCTTTTTTTTTTTTTCCCCCTTTTTCCCTCTCTGTCTTTTCTTTTTCTTCTCTTGGCCCTGGGAATTATAAGAAAAGAATTGCTTTGGAAAGTATAATTCTGTTGCTGACATTAGCCTTATTTATGAACAAATTCTGTCAGTAGGGATTTTCTGCATTGCAATCCCAGGTTACCTGGTAAATGGGGCTGCGTGGTTTGATTTGTGTAGCACTGATCCTTAGATTAAAAATACGTTTTCTTTCTTGACTTCTTTTTTTAAGTTTGGATCCAGGTAATGGCCTGAGTCACATTTGCTTAGCTACTGAAGCAATCTCAATGTGGTATCACTTAGAGTTGAAATACAATCAAACATATATTATACCCGGGGCGCTTGCATGCTCTTTGATATATATGTTATGCTCCAAAGAAACACAAACCTAATAGGCTGAAATTTAATTCCTGTCTGATCCTGCAGCTAGAATGGGGGAGAAATTATAAATATCAAACATGGCTTCAAAGACCCTGAATGTAAGCTAACCAGCAGTAAGTAGATGGTTTAGAAATGCCATTTGCTAAGGCAAAGCACAAATTGGAGATCAACTGACCTCATCAACAGTGTTGCTCAGGTCTGTCTGTGGATCTACCCATTTTGGAGGAATTAGAGAACAAGGCATGCTTCTGTGTTTGGGTTTACGGAAATTGTGGTATTGCTGACTTATGTTCTTTCTGTAACTGTGCCTGCCTTGCAATAAAACACCTTTAGTTGACTCAGCAACAAGGTCTCTGTCAATTTCCTGCACTACTGTGTCCTTGGTGGCTGTGTAAGAAAGTCCAAGGCAGACCTACGGGTGGTGGACCTGCCAAAGATCTCAGCTGGATACCACCTTATTGCTCTTTCAAAAGTGTCACTAGAGCTATGCGTTGCTTACTGTGGGGACAGTGTGTGTGGTCGACTTCTCTATTCTTATTATAGTGAACTCTAGAAATCTCTAGTCATGGCATAACCCTGCTAGGCCAGTGTGCCACCATTCTCTAATTTTACAGTCCCCACTGGTTTCTCTGATACTCTAGGACAAGCCACAAGCTCTCCAAACCTCAATTTCTGCATATATAAAATGGGGATAATGGCACTTCCTTTAGTTATGGTGATAAGTGCCTGTAAAAGGACATCACATGGATGGTACCTTACACATTGTAAACATACTGGGATGTGGCAGCACTCAATAAATGGTGCTTATTGTACTTGTGAATAAAGAATTGAAAGAATATTTCAATTTCTTGTCGTTGAGCTTTGATTAGGAACACTGAGTAGCTTCTTAGGCATCCTTGCTTAAAGCCATTAGAAAACAAGGTGAAGATTCGTAGGACAGGAGTCAGGAGAAGAGAGTCTGCCACTTCCCACCTTGACCACATGGCCAAACACCTTAATTCTTTCTGCTGTGGAATTGGGCAGGTATTTTATTTCCTTCACACAGATGACACTACTGCTTTCACAGAAAGTGAAGTTTACCACACACATAGATGTGTGAGGTATCATCTTTCCCACCTGTTTGCAACATTGGGCTGTGGCATCCGAGGGCAGGCGAGTCTCTCTCTAAATTCTGACAAAGAGGTTGCATTCCCTGTAGGGAAGAATTCGACCCGTCTCAGGCCTTGTCAGACTGTATCTGCCACTCTGGTAGAAAGTATTTTTGAGAAAACCCTGGCACTCTCCACCACCCTGACTGAGACTTCCAGATGACCAAATGTGAAGCAAAGACAAAGCTAAGATAATTCATTTCATGTTGGGCGGCGTATGAAGTGGTTCTTTGATTGCCTTGGGATACATTATAGTCCCACAGATATTAATCCTGGACTTCAAGCCATGCATAGTAGAAAGAATATTTTCTACTTTCTACCTTGAAGTCATGAAAATGGTAATAATAATAAGAGTAAGTAACAAGTACTTAGCTTATGCTGATCGCTGGGCACAGCACTTTTATGAACACTGGCTCATTTAATTGTCACAACAGCAACATGAGGTAGGTACTCTTAACTCCTGGATGAGAAACGGAGGCACAAAATGGCTAGGTGATTGGACCAGGTCCCCCAGTTGGGGAGACTCATACCTGGAATGTAGGTCTTCCTGACTCCAAAGCGTGGGCTCTTCCCTACTGTGCTCAGCTGCTGCCTCTGAGCCCCAGTCCTTTTCTGCTTTTCCAGCTTCTGACCTTGAACCTCACCTTTGGAACTTCACTGCCCTTACATGGGACCATTAATTATAATTCTCTCCTGCCTGTTTTCCCCAACTGTTGTCTAAGCTCTTAGCAAATGTAGGCCAACCAGGTGCAAATCAATATGAAAAGGAAAGGTTTTATTTAAAAATTAGCATTTTTTTTTTAATGTAAAATAAAAATATATATACTTGGGAGTGGGGTCCCGGTTTAGCTTACCTTATGCTGAATTCTACTCCTATTTAGCATTCTGAGATTCCAGTGCATCATCTCCAGGGGAAAGTCCTAACTGGATGTGAATGTTGATCCCAAGAGCTATCTCAGGGGTAAATGAGAGCACTGACCAAAGGCAAAACAATATTAGATTCCTGAGCAAAATGATGCTGACTCTAACCTTAGTTCCTTAGTGTGTATCAAAGGACATTATTCATGTCAGAGGAAAATAGCCTCTTTCCAGTTGCCACCAACAGCTTACCCAGAAGGTGGTATTATTGTGTACCTGCTTGAAGGACTACAGGAGTTTAAAGCACAGGCTGATTGTTCCAGAATATAGTTGGCACCTTGTCCCTATTTCTGAGGGCTTTCTCCAGCTGGGGCATAGGCATGCATCTCAGCTCCAAGGTGCTGGGTGTTTATTCCCCTCCCCACCGAGACTAGCTCTCAACCGAGCCTGAAGCAAGTTGGTATATAACGGCCCCGGCTCCCTCACCCTTTGGTTGGATGACTGAAGCCTGCTCAGCATTGGTTCTGAGTCCCCCAGGAGGTGACATTCCAGTTGCTCAGGGTGGGAACTAATTTGTTAACCCTCTTTTGTTGGCTGTCTTTCCTTCCTTGTCTCACATCCTCACTTCTCAATCAGTGTTTCCTGGGAGCACCACTCTAATCAGTAGTTAATTTGCATATAACTTCCTGTTATAGGGTCTGCTTCTGGGGGAAGCCCAAGTGAATTAAAATTCCTGATGCCAGTCAATTATAGAAATAACACTGTCCCAGAGAAGATACAGCAGTATCGTTCAGGGCTAAACAGTTTCTCACTTTGTCCATCTCCTGGTACCTCTGCTGTGTTAGGAACTGGAAAATGGGACCGTATGAACCTGAGAACCACTTGTCAGAGAACAGTTTCATTCCTATGAAACCGGCACCTCCAAAGGTTACGAGATATTTTTTTTTCCTTTAAATGAAAGACTCCACAAACATATGAGACTGGGAAGAATCACCTGATGGTAAATCAAATGACAATTCACTGGCTAGAACAAGTAATTAAATATAAGGAGATAATGGGAAAAGGAGAGAGTCAAGCAATCCTAAAACCCCCTTTCACCTCTCAAGGACTCCTTTTTGCCTTTGAATAACTTCTGCTTCAATTAACATTGATTGAGCCTGCCTTAAGTGCCTGGCTCTTGTCACATTCCATTACAAGAGGCTCCCAGACACTCAGTCTGCAAGCCTTTGTTGTGCCCTGACATTTTCGTAGAAATATTGGATATTGTGTAGAGTAGCTAATGCATTGATCAGGGTTCTTATACAAGGGGTTTGCTTTTTCTGGCATGGCAGTTTTGTAAACAGGATTTCATCTTTGAAAATTCTCTAAGTTCATTATAATGCTCTAAAAAGCATGTCAGACTGACCAGCTGCTGCTTTGAAAGAGACATGTTGAAAATGTCAATCCTATAAAGTAAGAAAATGTGCCTGAATCTTTGTTACAGGTATCACACACCTAATTTATTTTGATTGTTGTTGGGGGGACACACAAAGAAATGTGTTTCCTGTATGGGTTCCCAGTAAAGGTTTTTATGTTTATTTTATTGGGGGTGTAAATAGAATTATAGTATATAACAGAATCTGCCTTATCTCTTTTCTTCTCACTCTTTGCTGAAGTCTTGGAGGGTGGGGCTGTATTTTATGCAAGATTAGGGCAAGATTTCTCTTAGGAAAAAAAAAATCATAATAACATTGTTTTTAGGATCTTAAATGACCAAGGACCTTTTATGTAGAAAAAACCTTTTCATGCCCACATTTTAAAACTTATTATTAATTTTCTTCCTAAACATGAACATGCTACTCTGGCCACTAATAAAACATACTTTATGAATCAAATCATCTTAAATATTTAAATATGATTACAAATTTAAGTAGACAAACTCTCTTAAATATTTCAATAAAACCTCTACCAATTTTATTTCAGAGCTTTACAAACTTTAAAATCAGCTGGCATGCACATGCGTGTGCATGGACACACACACACACACACACACACACACAAGTAATCACAATGGGATTCAAAATGTATTATACCTACACTTAACTGATTAGGAAGTATTTATACTATGGGTTTGATTTATGTCTTCCTTATTTATAAATATTTTATCCCTTCCCTGTTTTTTATACTTCTCAGTGTTTTACTTTCCTAGAGTTACAGTAATCTTGCTAGATTTGAAAGAAAAAGAATGGAGTCTCAGAGCAGCTGAGTTGACAGATTTGGGGTTATCAGCCAACTTGATTTTTGACTGACATATTGGATCTTAGTGGATTTCTTCAAAGCTGATTCAGTCCTGGGCTGATGTTTACTGGCCTGAGTTTTTTCTTAAGAGTCAATGTTCAGTTGCTATGTCAAGGAGTCTTTGGAAGCCCTTGTTTTCTACTGGCAACATGGAGTGCCCCTGAGAGCGTCTATGTTCATCAAATCTTAGTCCCAGGCAGTGAGCCTGTACTTCGTGATGCCTTAGTTTCTCAGTATTTTTTTAATAAACACATCCAGCAGTGTCTTCATCTAGGGGATGAAAGGAGGAGACTGGGCAGAAGATTCTCTCCTTGGGACCACTGCCTCATGCATCAGCTTGCAACGCACTTCTGGACTCTACTCGCTGTTATGTGTGTCCCGAGAAGCAGATCACTTCTTTGGTCCATGAAGAAAGCGCTACGACTTTTCTTGAGTTATTTGACTTAAAATTCACTGTAGCCATTCCTTTCTATTTACTGAGATAAACATGTATACATATTGGGTCGTTGGGAAAGTCATGATGCATTTTTGCATTGAAAAACATAGAAAAATACATCATGACTTTCCTGACGACCCAATATATTAAAATATACATCAAATAGAAGTAACAACATCTATATATGTCAAACCTCTAACTGCCTATTTTCTTTTTTTAAAAAGATTTTTATTGGGGTATTGGGGGGATGGGAACATTGTTGGGGAATTGGGGGAAGGGGAACAGACAGTTCCTGTTGTTTTGTTCTTCAGTCTAGTTGTGGAGGACGTTGCTTC